TCCTCATTTTCCCCTCCCTCCCCCACCCTCACTCCCTCATGAGCCCTTGAAAAACTATAAATGATTATTTTCATATATTACATCATCTGCTGTCTCCCTTCACCCACTTTTCTGTTGTTCGTCTCCCGACAGCATTTCATTGTGTTAAGAAATTAGCAACACTGACCCTTACACATGTTTATCCATTACCACTCTGCTTGTATCAAGAGTTAACCTTTGACATCCTTGGATTAAGTTTGGCTTTTCTTTCCATTATCAAGTTGGCCCTGGTAAGAGTCACATGTGATCTGAAGTTAATCTATTGCTTTCTCATAAAGTTTCCTCTCTAATTCTTTTCCCAATAGTCACTTTGTTTTCCATTCACAGTGACATGGAGGTACATGATCAAATAAAAATAAAAACCCACCAATAAACTGACTTCAAAATCAATAACATCACAAGCTAAAAGGTTGGTGATACAAAAATTACAATAAAAATATTAATGAGTTCCCAAGAATGATTTCTCTTTTCCAATTATCTATAATAAATATATATTATAACTCATTGAATTAAAGATAATAAAGTACAATGAACAGATAAAATATAGTTACTTCATGATTCTGAGACATTTCTAAGAAATATTCTTAAACAGATTCTTAAGATTGAAAAGATACATGTACATAAAATTATAACCTTCACATTGTAGACAAAGTTTATCATTTATGCTTTTATTAAATTATGATTTTTATTGAATTATAAATTTTTATAAAATATACATTTTATTCATAGTATATTAAAGTTTTACCAGAGGCAAAAATTGAAATACTATCCTTTTATTTATTTATTTGCTGGTAAAAAGTGCCTTTAACTTCTCATTTTTACAAATATTAAATACATATGAATATAAGTAAAAAAGAAGTGTGTTAGTCCAGGTAGACTAGAGAAACAAATCCAAGGAGATGCATGCGTATAAGAAAGAGCTTTATAGAAAAGAGTAATTGTATATTAAGAAAACATCCCAGCCCAATCCAGATCAAGTCCATAAGTCTGATATTAGCCCATATGTCTGATAGCAGTCTATAAATTCTTCTTCAGATTCATGCAACACATACAATGACACCAAGTGCGGGAAGATCACGGGCCAGTGGGTGGAAAGTCTTCAAGGTTCTGGCTGCCATCACCATAGCTACAAGTCTTGTCAACAGGAATGTCTTGCAGAGAGAGAAAGCAGAGTGTGTCCGGCCTCCAGTGAGCTATTTATCTCCTCTGTGTCTCTAAATGAGGCCATCAAGCTGCAACCTGATTGACAGGCTAGACTCCATCCCTTTGCAAGTTAACAGGAGATTATGTAAGTGTCACAGAAGTATTGTTCTGGGATCCTAGACCCATTATTAAACAA